ACCACCACCACCACCACCACCACCACCACCACCACCACCACCACCACCACCACCACCACCACCACCATGAATTTGTTATTTGGCATACACAAGTCATGATGCTACGTGGATAATGCCCTCGTTGGAGCCTCGAATCTCAACCAATTTCCGCAAAACGCAGAGGTAGTCGACTGTTCTGCTAGTTGAACTAATTAGCTGGATACCTTGCTTGATTGCAGCCCTAATTACGAGCAGGTGCATGATATCGTTTGGGAGGCGCCGTTTGCGCGCAATCCTCCGCTAATCACCTGGCCCAACAACCGGCTAGCTGATGCTATTGCTTTGCCTCTTTTAAAATACCCACACTAATCTAGCGTTTGTGTTGCGGATTTAAACAAATTGAAGATTCACGCCCATTCAGCGTGTTTAGTCAATCGAATACCAGATAGCTCAACTTGGATTAACAATGCATGATTTCAGCCAGCAGCAAATGACGAGATTCATCGGGTAAGGTTTTAATCTAGCGGTTACGGAATAATTAAACAAACACAAGCATACAAAGTACATAACCTCAGGTTTTTTTTTCACAGGCAGTGGTTATTCACATGACCCCGAATCTACGCGTTGGTGTTTTAGGCGGGCATACAAAAAATACATCTACAGTGTTTCAAAATTGCTGGATTTTGTGGTGTTTTTTTTCCTTAAATAAAATTTCCACCAAATCAAAAGACTAGAGAGAAATGTCAGCAACAAAAGCGCTCATCTGTGGTCCTTGAGGCTTGTCATGACAATTCAAGTGTTTCAAAACTGACGGATTTCGATGCTTAAGAATGCTAACATTTCATTAACCTGTTTTACCTTAATGACGAATTCTATATATATCCGGACAAAACGTATGATATTCGAGTCATCACATTAATATCTGGTGGCAATTTCAAGCGGGATATCTATTAATAATATCACAATCGGCAGCCACAAGACCCCTCTTTATGGCACTGTGATGCGGCTTGCCATTTCCCAACATTTATTACCGGCAAAAATTAGCGTGTTTTGTGCCAAAACCGGAAGTGGCCTGGTATAAACACATATTTATTTTATAGGAACAACATCTCCAGTACTCGTGGCTGTGATCTAGCTGCAGGATTTACCTTTCTGTGTGCATGGAGTAACTTTAAAATCCAAGCAAGCTTTTATTTCAACCACCCGATTACTTACAATCCCAAAATGCTTTTGCGTGTTAACGCATTGTTGTTGGAGTTCGATTCTATTAATGGTATGCATAAACCTGTCATATTTTTTGCCAAAAATAATCGCATAATTATTTATACTCTCAAAACAATCTAAAAGGACTTATTCTCATTTTGTTTTAATCACTTCCAGATGAGCTTAACTTGCATAACCATGGCTACGAGAATAGCGCGTGCGCGTACGCGTGAGTCATCAACACACAACTACGCCTGCGTGAATATCGATTAGTTGTGGAGGCTGCGCCGTTAGATGCTTATTGTGGGCGTTAGACAGAAACGGCCGCTCCTCAATAAGCCAATGGCCAATTTACTAGTTAGAAAGATGTTCTCAGGAAACACAGACTGGCTGGTTCTAGTCATAAGCCCTGGGTAATTTTAAAACCCCAGACGTGCAAACAACAAATGAGGGGGAGGATCAGACCCCGGTAAAATACATTCACGAGCAATGAGTACACGTCCGACAAAAGGCGTTGTCAATTATGGGGTGTTTTAAAAGCCAGACAAACATTTCCGAGTGCACCGTACTCCACTCCAGCGTGCACTCAAACTGCCAGACAGTGACAAAGTCCACCACAGCTAAGATACTTCAATGTGGCTCTGTTGCATGATATCTTGTGGCGGTTTGAATGAGCTCGATGTCTTCTAGTGCAAATGATCCACCCGTGATTGAAAGTAGAGGTTCGTGGAAAGCGTAAGGCGTTTAACTAGATAGCTATGTTGAGTAAGTTGCGACATTTCAGACGCACAGATGTGTGCATTCCCAGACGTATCAGCTTGACCAATCGGAACGCAGAGGACGTCAGATTAATGTAGAGGCGAATTTATGAAAGGAGGGATTGTCTGTAAACCAGATGACTAAAGTTTCAGGTCTGAATTCTCTGGAATCCCCATCTATGCTGCCTTGAATGATCAGCCTCCTGACATTCCACATCGTCAACTACTTGGAGGCCGCGGCTATACGTACCCTTAGAAGGTCAGTATCGCTTCAAATGTTGGAAAAGGTGGATTTGAGGTTTACAGAATCACTCAAAAAGTGGCGAATACGTTTTCAAACAAGCCTCACAATGTTTGCATGATTTAAACACTCGTATTTATTCATCGAGGCGTGCTCACTGCGTCAGGTTGTAAAGCGTTTACTCAATACCACGTGCGTTGCGAGACTTCAAAGTATGCGTGTCACCTAAATACAATCGTCGCCTGTCATATTTCCATCTGCGTGTTCACAAGTCACTAATTTTCTACAAATACACGCCATCACTCGTTCGAGGAGTGTTATTTGAAGTACAAGCACTCTCTCAACAGCCTTGAAGTTGCCGACGTCTCAAGTGTCGCCTCTTCAGCGAGGATGTCAACGCAATCGACGATGATTCTATCACAGACCGGCAAATTTTCGTTTTTAGTAGTCAGAGCGATTATGGGTAGCCGTCCAACTCGCTAGAAAATCAAACCATGAAAATGGTACTACTGATTTGCTTTGAAGTAGACAGCGGGAAGTCACAACCTAACTAACACAACGCCGATGTAACCTTTAAATCACCTTTTGAAGTTCTACTAATCCAGTTTACGTCAATATTTTTGTGAGGAAACATGGCCGCCTTCCAAACTCAGTCCGTCCGTTTGTCAAGGTCATCCGCCATTGATCAGTTTAAACAACGCGCTAAAGGCTCCACGTGGGCTGCTAATATGTCATCAACATCTCTTGACAGGGAGTCTAGTGGACCCCCAGTTAAGTATCCACATTGCATTCGAGGGACCCTTCGAATAACGCTTCAACTGAAAGATCTTTTCGTTCAAGCATTCAGCCAGTTAGAGGCGTATCGAGCGGCACTGCTAGCGTGCAATCGGGTATTTTCGCGGGAATTGGCAGTCTCCAATCTTACAGCTGGTTTGAAGAGCATTAACCAGCTGCGATTGCAAGTAAAGGACGTTCATGCTAGAGCGACGGCAAAGGCGGAACGCAACAGGGTCATGTGGAAGCATTACATGACCCTTTGCCGCGACGCCGATGTCGTAGTGGACAGGAAGAACTACCTCAGTGACCGGTTTCAGGCAAGCAGTCGTAGACTCCATCCTGGCGGCAATTCAGAGGTCGTTGAACACCAAAGTCGCGCGTCTTTGGAAGAAGACCTGATGGGAGAATTCGGGGTGAAGGGAGCGGATGAAGTCAACATTGATCAGCTCGACGTTCCGCCTGAGGTGGATCTTAGTTGCGACACCGATGAAACTGGTCAGGCTCTTCTACCATTGATGGAGTTCTACAGGAGGTTTTACTTCCAACAGATAAACTTCCAGGTTAGCAAATTTCTGCACTGTTCTACCAATAAGCTTAATTCTAATTGCAGCCTGATTATTATTGGTTACTTTTTATTCAATTCTCCTGTGATTGGTTTAGGAGTATTCAAATGAACCAATTGGGTTTGGTCTTTGCGTTTTCAGAGCTGGGTAAAAGTAAATTGAAAAGTGACAAGAACGCATTAAGTATCCTACTTGCACTGTCACAAGCAAAGTTAGAACATAACATCACTTAAATAAGATGTCGTAGAAAATTCATGGACAGAGTAATCGTGAAGCGCATGTTTTTCGCCTTGCTGAAGAGTCGAAGGACCGATTGCGGCGATGAGATTTGATGTTAAAGGAGAGCCTCCTCCTTGTTCTTCAGCAAGCAATGTGCATGACAGCTCACCGATCAATGCCCCTGATCACACAGTGCCCTGGACTGGGTCGACGCATTCGCGGCTGGCGAATGGAGAAGAAGAAGCGAACAGGGATCGTTGATCACTTGGAGGACATTCGCGCAGACCTCACCTGCCTCATTGACCGACTCGACCGCTGCGTCGATCGTGTAAAAGCGAAGATCAGGCAAGACGAGGCCATCGACTCGTGCTATCGTCAGCACTGCGCGGCCCAGGAACGACTTCGTGGAAGACTGCTGTGATGTCTCCAGTACCAAGGTCGGCTCTGTGACCAACAGGAGAGACTGGACGATCACATGATGGGTGCTCTGGTGAAAGCAGAGCCCAAATTCGTGAGACTGCAGAGGTTCTATGAATTCAACAGTAATGAAAGTGTCTACGAGTTGGCAGAGGACGGTCCTCAAGGAAGCCACATGGCAAGCTTCGAGTCAAGAGTGCCAACTTTGCCTCCACATGGAACAAATGTTCTGGATAGGCTACTCACGGGGACAGAAATCAACTCCACTTCGAGCTCCTGTCGAACAAGAACTGTATCTTATGGAAATCCCGACAAGCTGGACCAAGAAGTTCAGGGCACTGAAGAAGTTGGATGTCAGAGTAGGACTGCACCAGACACAAACCAGTCCTGCAGTGCTGAGGTAGGTGTAACCCTTCAACCTGCTGCCAACACTAGTGGGACGACTTCCAAGCGTGGACAGTCCACGACGCAGATCGCTTCAAACAGATTCACTTGCAGGCCTGTTGCAGTTTCGACCGACTCCTTCAACTGTTTAGTCCCAGACTGGGCTAGGAAGATGTTTAAGAAACCAACAAAAGATCATCTGGTTAACAACAAAGACGTGCATGAGGAAGAAGTCCTTCGAGGTGATGCATCGTGTGCCGCGTCTGTGACGATGCTTCGAAAACGACAGGTGCTCGTAGAGGCTGTTCTCAAAGCTGACGCTCGGCATATTGACAACATTTTGTCTGGAATTCCAAAATGATCTTTGACCAAAGATATTCAAACGCAAGCTCGCTTTTCCACGTTTTTATCATTTTAATGATATAATGTTGCAGTATAAGAAGTTCAATTGCAATAAATGCATGTTAAAAACAATTTTAAAATTTTGCTAAAATGTCAGGTGAATAGCATGCGCAAAGTAGTCGTGTTCAGTTTAAAAGTCACATATCCAATTTAGTGCCAAAATAGGAAAACCATGTGCTTGCAGATTTGTTTGAACAATCTGGACTTATCAACCTGATTGGCGCAATTTTGAATTGTAAGTTATTAGCAGTGTGGCGGCGCAAAACCAGAAGCCATTTTGAGTCACGTCTTGATCTTGGCCAGCCTTTTGACTTTGCGGGTTTAGTGGCCTATGCAAAATAGCAACAGCCACCTAAGGATATGGATGTAAGTGTATTTCATCTGAAATAAAAGTTACGTACATGGGATGATATATATATGCAGAATTTAACTTACGCAAAATTAAACTGAATTTACTTGGACACGGGAAAATTTGGGGGAAATAAAACTTTTACAGAGCCATTGCAAAAGAAACGGTGTGTGTAAGTGAATGGCTTTTGAGATAATTAATTTCATTAGTTCAAAACTATTCAGATTCAATTTTTTTAGATTTTGTTTTTATCTTTACTATATTAAAAAAATTAATGTGTATGCTATTATGAAAGATAATACGAATTGGTAAAATAACACACATATAACCTTTAGGTAATTGGGCATACCAAAAGTGAAACTCAAGTATCAGAAATTCTGAAAACCTACACCAAAATTTGTGAAAAATGGCGTTTTCTGAATGGCAAATTGCTTTCATAACACTTGTGCCACATGCTATCAAAGCCAACTTGGAGGCACCTACAACTAAGTTACATTGTTGTAACAGATTAAAGAAATAAAAAGGTAGAACTTTCCTAATTTGTAAACAGGAGAAAAAAACCACTGTGAATTCCTGAATTTTATTTACCATCATTTTTAGCGAAATATATATCTGTTTGAAAAATGGAGACGTAAACATGAAAAGGAAAATTAAATCATAACAGAAAATATGATTTTCGTGCACGTGGAAATCTTACCAGTAGATCAAACCACTTGCAAATTGTAAGATTAAAAATCACAAATGAAACAAAAAGCAGTCGATTCACTATAATTTGATATGCAAGGGAATTAAAACGTAAAGAGATATCATTAAGGGAAATGCATGAAGCTGGACTCAATTATGCTATTCAGCCCATGGATTACAAGGTTTTTGAATTAAGGCTGTCAGAGAAAGGATTCAGAAATGTCGTAGTCTCTGACCTTTTTACACTAATATAGGTGTAGGTTATTGTCGATTATGATGTTAGTGTAATTAGTTAATGAAAAAAAATAGTGTGACGTCTTTTCCAATTCTTAATCAATAACGGACAGATTTTTGCCTGCTGAGCATTGACTGATAAGGGTACGCATTAAATGAGAAAAAACATGCACATTAAAATAAGCTTTGATGAGTTTATCAAAAAAAGTTAGCAAAAACGAATTATTAACGCTTATTACGACTCCAATAATACAAATGGTTTTGTTAGAATCGGTCAGATTAATTTACCTCAACGGGGTTAAATAAGCTGATGTTTTGAAAATATCAACAGATTGCACTTAACGCGAGATCGCAATGCTGGTACAACCGAAATCCAGCAGCAGACAGTTGCCAAGTTTCTTTGAGGTGTATAAAGTTTTGTGTGAAAAAAATGACGCTGGACTTTTAAGGAGAGTTGTGAATCACTTGCAAGAAAACATTGTCGACTTGAACTTGGACAATATAAGGTTTGACATATTTGCCCAAATTGATATTAATAATAGACACAATGAGCTAACTGCCATTCTAAGGTCTCTAGAATCCTGCTCAACGATACAAACCCTGGCATTTAGGAGCCTACGGCACAAGAAATCAAGTCAGTTAAACTCAAAAAGTGAGCTGGAAACTTACACACTTCTTTTTGGTTTTTTGAGACCCATAGAACAAAAATTTAAATGATTATTGATTTTATTTAGATAAGAAAGGAGATACGAAGGATTACATTAAGAAATCATTTGTTCTAAGCCACCCGGATATTCTCACGGACATATGCCGGTCGATTTTGATTTCCGTCACAGCTAATCAATCTCTTTGCTTGCTTGAATTGCAAAACTTACCGCTTTCAATTGACGATGTTTATTTAGTATGTAAGGTATGTTTCAGCTCTTTCTTTCAAACGAAGTTTAATACAAATACTTACCACATTTATTGCAAAATTAAGGGAATTGTGAAAGCCAAAGTTCTTCAGTACGTTTCATTTGAAAACAGTCGAATAGGAGACGAAGCTGTTTCAGGTACATTTGTTAATTAATGTCGCATTGAATGGGGCATTAGAGGTGTTTGTTTTTGTCGTCTTAATTTCTTCTGATTAGTCGAATTGACGTTCAGCGGTTACATTTGATCGTTTACGTTTTCCTAACGAGAAACCAGATCGCAAAATCAGCATTTTCTTTTTAATGTATACTTGAACGATTTTTTAGAACTGTGCAATGCTTTGAGAACCGCTATGTGCGTGACGTCAATAAATCTTACTGGTTGTGGCATCACCGACATTGGCGTTCGGGCAATCGCAAGCCTTCTGCAGGTTTGTGTTCTGAAATTGACTAAAAATTTGGTCTACTTTCTAGGTACATTAACATAGTTGTCCTAGCACTATTTACTAATACAGTTGTCTGAACCTTACGACGAATAAGTACTTAAAAAGCTATGAAATTTGTGCCAATTTTTCTAAAATACATGTGCGATACTTGATATGTCTTACTTTGAATGTTTGTCACGAAAATCCTCTCAAGCTGTGTTTCCAACTTGCTGTTTTGTAGTTAATGTCTCTACCCGATTCACCCCATGATATTTCAGCTTAACATTTAGTACTACTCATAACGTTTAAGCAGCAGTTCTGTATTGACATCGAAGATTAAACCGATCCACATTGGTCAAATTTACGGCTGCATGATTAGCACCGTGATGTTTACAAAAACACTCGAAATTTGCAAAGTTTCATTTTTAATCTGGGCAAAGCTGGTTAGGCTTAATTTTTCCTAATTAAAGGAATTTAATGTTAATCACATTGTTGGCCAGAGTTGACATTGATTTACTGCCATAATAATTAAGGCGGACATCTGCCTTGATAAATAAGCTGGTGGCTTTTTATGACACCAAAAATTAATTCTGTGGATTTGATAAATGTTCCTTACTTCATTCGAAATTCCTTAATTCCTAAGTATGCCATAATTTTTTTCAAACAATCTTGAAAGAGGCCAATTAAAAAAAGTTAATAATTTGTCAATTTGGCAGTTATATTACTTTAAAAAAATTAAACTGCCATTTGATTAAAGTAAAGTTTTAAAGTTTGTGGAAATTATCAGGTCAAAATCAATGTTTTTTGTGACAGAATGGGCGAAATTTGCAACCGTTTTCGGATATCACTAATGTCTGTCACCGGTCCTCTCTGCCAATTACTTGTTACATCTCAACCGAAAATAGCGCGGTTATTTTTTGCTCTAATTAAACAAAAAAGCTTTATTTTTCGCTTGCAATAATCAGATTTTAGCCGAAGAAAGCATTTTTGGCCGCGAAAAGTGGCCAACCCTACAAGATATTGATTTTTAGCAAAATGCTTACTCAAAAACGGACTATTTTTGATCGATAATTATTTATTGGGAGTTACCTATGTGCGCTATACAAGTACTCTCCTCATTCGACAAGCACAAATTTGGCACCTGTATGGCTTAGCCAATCAGAAGGGTTCCTGTAAAAATTGGGCCTATTGTGGAAGCTCAATTGCGTTACTTCGGTGGTTAACTCGAGTTGTGTGCTGTTGGGTCTGCGTGTGCAATCGGGCTGCAACCTTTGAAATCATCCAATAGATGCCTTAGCTCGGCTTTACACAAAGGCGCCACCCTAATCAATTGGGAATGGGCTGATGTCAGACAGAAGACCGTCAACTTGCAGTGATTCGTTACTAATCTACCGTCATTAAAATCGCACTTCGTCCTCAAGAAGTTGAATTGAGCGGTTGCAGGGGGTTGTGGTGTGATGTGTAATTAACCAGCCAATCACAGGCAGTTGTTAAACATTGTGAGCACAAATTAAAAGTCAGGCAGATATGGCCAGTCCAGAGTCATTTCATGGTAGCTTTGCGTGTGTGCTTAAATGCAAACATAACTATTTTAACGGCAATCATTCTAACCGTGTTGGCTATTTAGATTAAACGGTCTAAATCCATTGACTTCGTCGACACTTTTGCAAATCTTGATGTTACGATCATAAAAACAGTCCACTTAGTTTTCCAAAAAAGGTAAATTCATTTTTTAGATAATGCTCATTCCAACAAATTTCAACAAATCGAAAACTTTTCATTCTTTAAAACCATTTTCCTAAATTTTCGGAAGAGTGTGGTCGAATTTTTGAAATCGAAATGCGTGCGACATCTAAGATGCTAATTCCTTACTTCTAACACAACTCTACATAAAATAATGCAAGTCTTTTAGGAATGCAACAATTGTTTTAGTTTACTTTTCGAAAACGGCATTTTGAATCCCCCTCACCACAATTCTAGCCAATCGTATTTATAGAAATTCATATAAAAATCAAATCAATAATGCTAGCTGAGTAAATATTAAGGAAATAATACAGGAATCCACTTTTGTGTCTGGGGACTGGAAATATTTGGAAAACACCAGCCCGAAAGACACTTAATGTGAGCCTCAACTACGCAGTTTAATCTATTTTTGATCTTGCACGGGAATGGCTGATTGCGCCGTAAATTTTGCCAGATAAGCCATTAAATTCATGTGACATAGGCCGTGAAATGCCTTTATTCAAATCTCCGTGCTGGTTTCAACTCGCCTTCAAAAAATCGATCGATCAGGTGATTGGTGAAATTTTGTTTAACTGCAACCACTTTGCGCGGAGAATTTAGAGAATTTAATAAACGTGACAAAAACTGTATTCTTTACACAAAACTCGCGCTGTGAATGTGTAACATCTGGGAGTGTCGCGGACACAAATGTGGGTTTGCAAAGACCCTGCCCAGGGTGTGCGGTGGCGTGTCGTCTAGATCAACTACCTCTGAGACGTCTGAGAGCTCGTCGAAGTCGCCCGACGTACTGGAGGTGAGGCTGTACTTCCATTCCATCACTGAGGCTTCTTCCAAGTGCCGAGCAGTTCCGCTGTGAGTGACGATCATGCCGCTGGGCTGCCGTGCGACCTCCTTCCTGGACTGACGTCGCAGGAACACAAAGCTGACGGCTACCAGGACGACCGTCAGCGCCACGAAGAGACTTCCAATCGACACCACCGCCACGAAGGGTCCGTCTTCGATGGAAAAACGAGGCTGCGAGGTGGCAGCGCTGGACGTCTCGGGTGGTCGGACTAACTTTCCAACATGCTGGTACACCACTCTCCCTCCGTGGACGACACCGACTGGATGATCCAAGGTCGGCACGTGAAAATTCTGTTGGCGAGTGAAGTCCTCGTGTGTGGAATTCGTTGAATCTGCAAAAATACGCAAGAAATCGGATTTGAGAAGGCAGTAGTTAGGCCAAATTCACTCTTGAGCTCAAAATTTCCGCGGACACGGCTTCTAGTTTCGTAAAACAACCGATTTTTGACCTTCTTCGGCACTGACACGAAGTCGTTTTACATGAAAATCGTGGTGCAACGTAAATCGTTTTAAAGCTAAAAGTCACGTTGGCTACTTAAGTGCTTTTCCTGAGGGCAACTGTCCCCTTGCAATAATCGGTGCTTTTTTTCCCTCAAAAAAGGCATTTTTTAATCCTGTGTAAAAATCCACGCACAAATATTCTGCCCCTCAGTTGCGCAAATTTTGCTAGCAGGCGCATTTTTCACATAAAACTAAATGTGGTTTGTGGAATGCATTTGATTGTGTAAATTCTATTAGTTAGTTGATGTCACGGTGCAATACTGTAATTTTATACTTTTTAATATGCTAAAATAAGACCATTGATGTCAAAAAGGTAACGCACAACTTACTCATTTTTTGTAGCAAGCGGTCGGAAAGTGTGCTTTGATTTCCAGTCGTGTGTTCGCATAGAGAGACATATATCGCCTGCACACCTGAAGCGCTAATTGGCTAATTACTAATCGGCCAATGAGTGATTCGTGGGTGACTTGAAGGAGCATTTTACCAAAAAAAAACAACCATAGAGAGCCATGTTACAGTAGAGTTGACAACTGACTTTTGGAGGCAATGCCTATTTAAAAGCACAATTATGCACCCCAGTCGCTATGCACAGCAAAAATCTTTCTGGGGAGAAACAAAACATTTTCCAACATACTTGCATTTACTCTAATGCCATTGGCTAATTGCTGCATTTTTTAATAGGGCCTATTTCGAAAAATTATTCATACATCTAGGAAATTTTAGGCAAATAATAAGACCTTTGTTTGGTCATCATTACACTGAATAATATGTAGGAAAGTGCATGTAAAGGTGCTTCCATAATTTTGTTAAATTTTTGCAAAGCGTTCCTTTAGCTTTTGCAGTTTCACTAAATTATCGAATTTGCAATGAATTCTCTTCCAAAAAATGTTTTGTTTTTCATAAAACACGTGACTTGGTAGTTTATTAAATCTATAAAATTTCAACATTTCTGAATTTGTGATTCACGTCGGAATCACCTTTTAAAAATATTCCTTAAAATGACCAATCAGGATGAAGTATTTGTTTGGTTGAGGTCAGAGGTCACCATGATGGACATAAGTCGTGTGACTTCGGGTTTTCGGAAAAATGTCTTCCTTGGATAGGTCCCCAAGATTCCACCAACTGAGATAAAAAGAGAACCTTTTTTCTGGCCAATCATCAACTTACAAGGTTCCATTAGTAAGCATGTTTTTTATTGGGTCTAAAACGACCTTCAGTATGTTTTGGTAACACGTAAACAGCACTTTAATCATCCAAACATCGTGAGGCTTGTTTGAACACACATTCGCCAGTATTCGAGTGATCCTGTAAACCTCAACGCTCGTGAATCCATCTTTTCCAACATTTGAAGCGGTATTGGCCTTCAAGGAGTACGTATAGCCACGGCCTTCAAGGTGTTGACGATGTGGAATGTCAGGAAGCTTATCATTCAAGATAGCACAAATGTTGACGAAATATGCTTCGTTTCGTCTTGGAAGGTTTGGCATCGTGAAGATTACCAACAGGAATCTAGTCCTCGAACACACCTAAGAATCGTATGATGAAAACATGAAGCCATTTCAGTGGGTGTGGGAATCAACCATCGAATTATTTCATTGAATCAGCTTCGAGTTCGTCTAGGCAGTTGCATGGGTTCATCAGCAGTGTCGGTGATTTTTGACGGAGTTACTTGCAGCGTCGATGAATGCATGCGTTAACAGCTTTGGTTATTTTCGTGTTCAAAGGAATCGGTTTCTTCGACTGACATCGAGGTGAGGGTCATCCACTTCCTGTGAATAGTTGGAAGACCTGCCTTATGTGCCAACGTGGTTCACAAATGCTCTTGTCCCGTATACGCCAGACTCGGACAACGTCTTCCATCAAACCAACTAGTCTGAGTTATCTGAAAAGGCCTTTTTACTCTGCAACGAGGCCAGATTTTCTAGTTATAAATCTGTCAGAAAAATACCATACTACGCGTATAAGTAACTTCTCCGATATTTAAAAGTGTTTGGTTTGAATTTCATGGAACAATGACGTCCGTTTAAAAGCTTGTTATCTTCCCTATCATCGTCAACATCTATAGTCTCATGGTGACAAGGCGCAGCGATTTAATGCGGCCGACAAATCGTAACCGTTGGGACAGCATGAGGTAACACAAACAGTCAAAAATTCTGTCTACTTGTCTCTTTTTCTTGTCTTCTAGTCAATATCTTCTTATCATTGTTTTTCTTTAAAGTGATAAATTTAGATTGTGTCAAAAGGAACGTCCACTTTTCTCAGAATTAAATTTTTATAGTCTCTGGAACACTGTAACAAAAGAAAAACATGTTTAAAAAAAGAAGTTTTACCAACTTTTTGCAGTACATTTTGCATTATTAAATAGACACGGAAAAACGAAATTCTGCGAGATAAAATTTCTGGTTGGCTAAAATCGCAAAAATCAGGCAGACGAAGCATAATTCTTGGCAAATCCTCAAGTGCATTGTGGCTGCAGCAGGTCTTTATTTAATTTAAACTCACTCAAGTCGAAAATTCAATCAGGTAGGTAGTGTTTTTTGCGCGGTAATTTAGCCAATTGCCTCCTTGAAAACAGCTAGACAATTTGTTAAATTAACCTTACTTTTAGTCTAAACATGACTAAATTTTCCTTTTGAGTTTTTCGAAAGAAAAATTGCAGATTTTTTCGTCACAGAAAAATTAATTTTTTAAACTTGCTGTAAATAATCCGTGACCAGGCTAGATTATTAGCTGTTCTGGAGGTAATTACGTTTTTTTCCCAAAAGGAAATTTCTTTCACGAATTAAAAATGCACTAAGTCTTTGTTTTGTTAAAAGTACCTCCACTGAGAAAATTGTTTGTTGATTACTGAAAACACGCGCTAATTACTTTTGCATTAAACAACAACAACAACACACTCAACAAATGCAAATAAATTAACAATTAAAATGTTCATTTTAAATTCTTACTGTTTCCAATGCCTTTTTGAACAAATCTACACAAATAATGCAGAAACCACGATATTGGGAATCGAAACGCCTTTGATTGGTGTGAATTTGATACATTAAACTGCCGCGCTGAACGTTTTTCGACCACACCTTGGCGCGTTTTGATTGGCCGGGTGTTAGTTAACCAATCGATTATTATGCTGGTGCATTAGACCACCAGAAAACGGTTTCTACTTGAATTCTTTGTCGGTTGAGTTCTGGTAAGCGCGTCTTTCAAATCTCGCGATGCGAGGGAGTGCAAGATACGTCAAAAATGGCGTTTGAGTTCACCAAAAAAAATAAAAAATAAAATCGAGTCTTTCCAATTTCTGGCTAGTTTCACGCTCTGCATCGACGCAGCGACATCTGGAAGAACTCGTTGCGCTACCAGACGCCCAATTTCGACAGCTTCGGCGGACTGCGTCGAATCACGCTGAACGACAACCCCCGCGTCGGCAACTCCGGGTCCAAAATGCTCTCCGACGTGCTCCAAGACGACATGTGGATGAAGGCCGTGGATATGCAGAACTGCGGCCTCGGTGACGAGGCTGGACTCGGTTGGTTGGGTATCCTCAGGTCTCCGGGTGCAAAGGCGGAGGCTGACCTCGTGGAATCTGGCAACAAGGTCATAAATATTATTGATTTGCGAAGGAACCGGAATTTGGGTGGGTTGCTGCCTGTCCTTGGAATCACCTATTAACCAATCAAAATTTGCGATACGTTTGTTTTAAAATTATAGACAGAAATATCCTACGATCTGTCACCGAGCGTGTTCTACTGAATTCTCATGGCAAACAAACAGAAGTAAGTTGCATGCTACATAAACAAGCAATTATTTTAATAACCAGCACTGTGCAATGCGAAATTTAGAAATAATTAGAAAAAGCGATTAACGGCCAATCAAAGTCAAGCAAAGTTTACGTTGCTAGGGGTTTGTTAATTAGTTGGCCAATTGCAAGAGCTTTGCATTTGTGGATTGAATTCTTGGTGAAAAAGGGAATTTTTTTTGCCACGAAAGGAAACACAAGCAGTTACTATCAGCAAAGTAATTAAACAAGGACGAGGCGCTGTGTTTTAGCCTATACTGCTGGAAAGGTTTTTTTGGTGACAAATGTGCAATTTCCTGGGGCAATTTTAAGAAATCTTCAAGTCACTTAGCCTCACCTGCAGTATCGGACCACAGGGTGCAAAGTGTTACACATATGTGAAAAAAACCACGATGAAATTTAATGAAATTTGCAAAAAATGACATTTTTAAAGCTCAAATACTTGATGATTAAACAATCATCCCATTATTGACTTGAGCTTAACTCAACCTAAACTGACCAATAGCGTGATAAGGGCCAAACAATGATCAACGATACCAATTCCAACTTGCACGCACCTTCCTCTCCCTAGTATAAATGGCTGCGAGCACTGGCAAGGTCCGTGAATCCCGGTCGAGTATCTGATTGGCCGGGCATCGAGGGTGTGGATAGGCTTGATCTGGACGCTCCGACACCACCCAAACGCACCTCCTCGTTCAATCGGCACTACAAACCAAAACCCCCGCCAGCGAAGCCCAAGGCCATCTCAAGGCCACAGTTTCGGGTAGGTCTTAGTGCGCACGTGTGTAAACGTGGACCAATGAGATTTAGGAGTGAGTCATAAGTATTATTTAAACTGACAACACATAATAAGCCGCTATCATGGAAACGTAATCAAAAGAAGATTTGGATTCCTACTACAGTGGTCAATTTTATTTTAAAAAATATTTCAAGGCCTCCTATCTTTCCTATGTTTGATGCCTAGTCGAGGAAGGCGGAGATAATCTTCCATACAAATCAAGTGATAATTGGTTGCCATGGTAATTTTCAAACTTGTTGACATGACGACGACGTCTTTCATAAGTATGCACAATGAAAAAACTCGCTAAACACACGCGTGCACACACACTAAGTCATGACTTCTATTGTGAGTCTAAATTTAAGTTCAAGAGCTTTGAGTCGTCTAACTGCATTTAAATTCTATGCCTGTGAATTAGCAGCTTGCAATTTAAACTGAAATGCCCGCGTCAAATTTTGCATTTTAGCCAGGTGGAGGTGCATACGACCCCAAATCCGGCCCCCGAATGCGTGCACGAAGCCTTCAGCGGAGGCCTTCAAGCCAGTCGCCAAGGCGACAGCTTCAACGAAGCCAACACAGCCACAAACTGCGCGCTACCAGCGTCTCGACTCCCGTGACACCGCGGTTCTCGGCCTTGTCGCGGTCAGTCAGCTCGCGTCGCAGTGCTGGGCCGTCCAGAAACGAATCCAATTTCAACAACTCCGAGGCTCAAATGATTCCCGGAGTGCCGTGGAGAGCAGCGGCTCGTGCTCACCGTGTCAAGTATGGCCTACGTGGAAGCACTTACTGCGTCGCCTGTCTGTGTTATTAAATTTCGCGGTTGTATTATTGTTTTACAGAGCTAATGTGGACATGCGGTTGGGTATTCCACGTTCCCTTCTCACCACCTTCTCCGAATTGGACCTCCGACGCATCAAAAGTGCGTCAGCGTCAATTCGAAGCACGGCCAAGAAGACCGACGCGAAGCCACACCGTCGCATCTCATCGGTTAGCAACTCCAGCCTAAGCACTGTGGACAAACGCCAATCGGGTTCCAGTGCCAAATCCGACCAGACGACGCTTCAGCGCAGTGACGGCCACGACGACAGACTCAGACACCAGCTGATCAAGCACATGGTGAGTTGCATTCCAGTGGTTAGCCAATCAGAATAGCATCGGGGTAATCGCTGACGTGGTGATTATGGAAAAAGAGGCCATACTTAAACGCTTGCATAAATTAAACTTAATTGCTGCATCCCTAGCGTCGTCTATTTATAACCACCAGATTCAGACACCTCTAAATTAAAACAGTAAAATTCTTAATTTAGGCACATTTACCAAAACAACCTTCTTTTTATTGGTTCCAAAAAAAGCACACACACACACACATCAACTTACACACACACACACACACACTCAGGTGGTACCTGTGTTGAATGCTGTGTGTGCGTGAGTTTTGCGTTTGACAGACCGCATCAGCTTGCCTCGTTTCACTTTGACTTCAGAAGAATCTTGACACGGCGGCGAAGGCTGAAAACGGAAAAGCCGCTCTTCAACACCTATTCGCTCGAATAGACACGACCCTAACGGCGGTAGAGAAGGCTGTTCAGCGAATCGGCGACCCGCAACACCAAAAGTGAGTTTGCATTCTGCAGTGTTCGGCAAACTTGGCCGTGGCATCAGTGTTTTAAAGCTGTAATCAGTGCGACCTTGAGTGACTTGGCGCGTCGATCAAGCGTTTATCGATTTTTCGCGCGAGTTCTACTCAACCACACAGCGAAACGCTTCAACGCATGCATTCAGCATCGCTTTAGTTGAACCGCCATATTTCAGTTGTACAATTTGTCCTGCGCCTGCAGATTCACTTCCAAAAACGAGGAACACCAACTTCAGCTGATCCAGTTGGCTCTACGACGAATGATCTCACCCCTGAGGCACGGACTCGGTGTTGGCGAGACGGTGAAACCGTCGCAGAGACGCCAAAATGCTCTTGATAGTCAGGCGTCTTCGTGGCGTCAATTGCCCAAGTCCTCGACACTAACTCGAAATGTCGCCACATCGAACTCGGTAGAGTCACTAGTGCCATCCAAATCACAGGTAGAGCAATTGCCCACTATGAGTTGTATGTTATTTTTTTTCGAAGTCTTTTATTCCTTCTGCCTGTGCATCTTTCTGTCCTCCGCCGACGTGGTGTAATTGCTCTTCCAAAAAACTCCTTTGTTTAAAAATTGCGCTTTTGGCGTATCGTAATTAGCGCGCATTTCAGTTTTGGATTGCAAATGCCTCAGTAATGCGCACATTTCTATTTAACTGCATTTATTTGCGTAAGCAATTGAGTTTTCGAGTGGAAAAGATCGTTTTTAAATTTTTTGGTTTGACTTGAGGCAGATTTTTTGCACTTCGCATCATTCTTTATTTCAGCACAATTTCCCGCAATTAACCAATGGCAACAGAGCTTGAGCTTGGTGCTAATTGGCGTGAATTAAGAGCCAATGGTTGCGAAGATTTAGTCCACTGCGTTTTCCGGATTGGTTTGTTAGCGAAAATGCGAATTTTTTGCATAGAAGAGTGCCAGTTTTTTCTTAAATAAAACTCGTGTGTTTTAGAGACTTTAATTAAAATGAGCCAATTTTTGATTCGTTCAAATTCAAAATCCCGCAGTTTGATTGGTTCAGAGTGCTTATGAATATTCTCCACCAAACGTACACGGTTTGCATTCGTTTTTTACCTGTTTTACCCCCTTACGACTTATTTTCAGAATGCTTCCCAAGCCCAACCGAGTCCCATGCCAAGGAAACGAACCTCCTCAATAATAACCTGTCCAATCACGCCTCAGACGGAGGTCGCAGCTAAACACAGAGTGTCCACCCAGCCAAGCAGAAATGAGTCCTCCTTCGACACAGATTCATCCAGCGATGTCTTCATCGCCATTCCAGGCAAGGCCTCCAGAATCTCTGAAACTAGTTACCGTGAGTAAACGATCTGCCAATGGAATTGCGATAGTACACACCAAATTGGATATCCCGACACGACCGGATTTTCACATAGAACGCTTTTATTTTAGTGGCCCCACTTGATGTCAGTCGAATTAATCAGACACAATCATTGCCGGACTCGTGTGAATCAGCAAACCTGTCAACCCATCAGCCCGCGGTGCACGAATCGCAGGTGATTTCCAAGACGCGAAGCGCCCCATCTGTATTTTCCAGGAAAACGCCCCCAACAGCGTGTACGTTTCTTGTCTGTCTTGTAAATTTCACTCACTTCAAGGTCACTCCGCAAACTGTCCGCCATTTTTAAAGTCTCATTTATCCATCACAATCATAGCAGAGGTAAACCAATGAAAAGCACCAGTTCGTGACCTTGGTAGTGTTAGCTGATAGGCTAAAAAGATGTTCTTCCATTCATTTCAGTGGGCACCAGCAGGCGACGGAAACCGTGCAGTGATGACGTTCAGGAGTACGTTGACATATTCGAGGATGTTACCCTTTCCAAAGACCACCTTAGTGACAGCCAGACAACCATCAAAGCTGATTTTCCCGAATGCCGACAGTTTGGAGATACGACAAATGATGAAATCCTTCTCTCCGATTATTAGGTTGAAAGTAGAAAAGTTCAACATTTATTTATAACACCAGACTAGTGCATCCACCATTTCAATTTCTTTTTTAACTGTAATTTGGCCCTTTTTTCTCGCAAACTGAATCAGCTTGCATTTTGAGAAAAAATATTTCTTTTTTATAAACAAACCAATCAAATCTCCCGTCGCAGCATTGTGTTGGAGATTTCGGCCGAGAAAGTGGCGTCAGAAGTCCGCTTTTTTGTGCAGATTTGCAGTTAATGCAAGCTACAGCAGTTAAACTGGCATGGAATTGTTTTTTTTTTGTTATCATAATAAACCATAGTTTTTTGAAGACAGACTCCACGCAAAAATTAGCCTGCAAATGTCACAACGGTAGTGAAAACGGTGTCTGCCTTTATGCAACTTAACAGACTTGGCCACGACAGTAAGAGGTGGTCTATATATTTGGAATTTGCGACATTGTAAGCAAGACATGCTTGTGCATTTGTAAATGGTTATGGTGTACAAAACAGCTTTTGTTTTAAAACAAAGACGCTACCACACATTCTACTGAACACAGCACGTTTTCAAACTTTTTCAGTGGAAATGTATGCAACCACAAAATAAGATATATTTTCAATTCATCCCTAGGAAAGGCTATTCTGAGTGTACATGTATCTGCATTAAGTCGGGTAGTTAATAATGGAACATGGCCACTTAATTAATTAATTACTTAATATAAAAGGCAAAATATCAAGTTATTATTAGCGGCAACTATTACAATATTGTTGCAGTGGCAAATTGTATCCTATGTACTTTAGGAAGCAGTAAAACAGGCCGAAAGTAGTAGCGGCAGCCTATCAGTAAGAAAACGGGCACATACATTGGATTGCTTTAAAGAAAAATTTGAATCTGAATCCAGACAACGCCACCCTGCGAAAAATCAGTTTTGTCACTCGACATATGGCTCTTGCACCTACGTCGTGACATCGGAATCATTTTTGCTGCGAAGACTGAATTTCTTTAGATAAGAACGACACAATTTATCCCTGTGTTGCAGAATGGACTTGCGAACAGCCATGTCTACTTTTTCGACAGCATTGCTTGAACGTGCGCACAGAGTCTGACGTGCACAAATGTCACACAAATTGCAATGAAATTGTTTAAAAAAATTCATAATTTATGAGTGTGAAAAACCAAAAGCCGTTATAACTAGATGTAGGGGCAGGTCCAAAAATAATATGTAGTCTAAATTTTTAAAAAGACCAGAAAAAATACTTAGAAAATAAGTAAGTGGACAAAATAATCAAATCAAGTTAGCGCACGCCATAAACATTGCTCAGAAAGTCTATACGACAGTAAATTAATTGAACATGAAATCTGCAAAATAGACAGGAGACATAGAGATAATCAAAATTGAATAGTTATCAAAAATGTTTTATTAACCTTGGCGAAAATTATTGCTGATGGCGTAGCGGTATCGACTTCTTTTAAGTAGATACGTTTCTACTTTGGAAGGTTTATAAGAATTACAGTTTTTTGTTGAAAATTTAGATATTAATAGTGTAAAGAAAAACATAAAAAAGCGAGACAAAAACTAGCTTATAATCCAAGGTTGTTTACAGTATGCGTGACGGCACATATATTTCTAAATCGAAGACAAATACCTTGTTTAAATTGGCATCAAAGCTCACGTACATTTTAAAAAGAACGGTTGAGATTTTGTGGTCGTTTATTTGGGTTTTACCTCTCCATAATGGCTGTTAGTGCTGAGTTTGTAACACTATGCACTGAGGGGATGCTCGAAGATTTAAAGGAACGCGTTAGTACTTTGAGACGCATGGGCAGGGATGTTCAATCGATTATCAACAAGCCTTCATGCTGTGGCCAAACATGTCTAATTGCCGCATGTCGAACTGGTAGTCAAACTTGGCAGTCTGACACTCTTAGGTTTTTTGGACGTTGTAATGCACTTAGTGGATGAATGTGGAGCAGATCTGGAACAGGTAGCTGTTTCCTGATTTTTACAGTTGCTTCATATGTTTTTATTTCGTAATTACCTTTTACTGGACTATCTTCTTCCTTAACTGCCATTGTGTAGAAAGATTATTACTCCTCACTGTTTTTTTAAATTACTTTTTAACTCTCGCTTTTTTTATTGAGGTTTGAATAGCTTTTGAAATATCCCGTTACGTGATTTACGTGGAACTCGTCGATTCATTCTTTAGCCAAAATGTCTGTTATTTAAGGGACTAAGTTTGCGTAAATGTCTGATATCAATGCAACTTTTAATTCAGAAATCGTTGGTTAGTGCTTGCTGAATAAATGATTAGTTTTTTAAGCTTACCCTAATCGATTGAGTTAATCTGTGGATGGGCGTGTTTATATTCACGCACAAAAGTGCTTGTCTAGCTGCTTTTCTGCCCTAGGCTGGGACAGTTTTCTTCGACGGCGAAACGATTGAGGGTGTGTCGCCTCTTTGGTGTGCAGCTGCGGCAAATTTCATCGAGATTGTTCGCTTTCTTGTGGCGCGTGGCGCCAATGTTAACCGCACCACAATCACCAGTTCCACGGCTCTTCGTGCTGCCTGCTACGATGGACACGAGGAGGTAGCTTTTGTCTCCTCCAATTTCCGTGCCTGAGGCACCATGTTAAAGCCCGTGACTTTGACCAACTCCGCTAGTAGTCACGTAGACTTAGCAAGCTTGCAAAATTGGTATTAAAGTAGTGAGACGTGTACAAGGATTGCTTATGTGATTTAACCACTGAACATTTAATAATGTCGTTTAATTGACTTTATTGTAATTACAACTGGTGCAATGCTGCAAATTGGCAAAAAATGAATATTGGAGTTGCAAGTGCTTCTTGTGTCACAGCATACATCAAGTCAGTAGTCTAGTTGAAGCCAGATCTGTCAGATGTGAATGAGTTTGGTAGTACCTGTTCTCGTAACCGGACGCTGAAGTGCTGTCACGCTTTTAAGCAGTCGTATTAATGCGAGCGTCACCGCCAATTGTTATGTGCGCATGTGATGTGGTTTTGCCCTCAACACTCAGGTCGTGCGTTTTCTAATCGATCATGGCGCCAACTTCGAAACCTCAAATCGCCATGAACACACGTGCCTCATGATCGCCTGTTTCCGTGGCCACGAAAACGTCGCCAAGTACCTGTTGAGCAAGGGCGCCCGTGTCAATCGACGCTCGTCCAAAGGTAAGGCTTTCCAACCATCACGCCTACTTTGTTTACACTGTTGGCGTGCGGTGCGCTAATTCACCACATGCCTGGCTTACGTCAGGCGCTAGTTACCACGGCAACCGACTTAACCCGTTTGTGCATTCTCCACGTGCAGGAAACACGGCCGTCCACGACTGCGCCGAGAGTGGGAACTTGAATGGCCTCAAGCTACTGCTGCAACACGGCGCGGCTATGTGTAGAGACGAGTACGGCCAGTCGCCTATCATGGCAGCTGCCCACTCAGGCTTCAAGAGGGCAAGTGATAAAACCCCCTACTACGCATTACTTTTAAGTAGCTGTAGGAGGTTATCGTTGTTTTGTATGGGTTTCAGGTAGTCGATTTTCTCTGCCAACTGAAAAAGCCCGGCACTGGGGAGTTCCTCGTGCCAATCGAGGAACAGGCAGCCTCTCGTGAACTCCTAGGTGCCGCTCTGTTTGACAGGTACCTCGATCTGCCTCCCCGCCCCCCACCACCCCTCTTTCCCCCCCAAATTGTCACCGATTTCTCTCATTTAGACAGTCGGTAGTGCAGGACGCCATAATGGAGTGGCACCGCGCGATGGAGCTGCGCGAAGGCCACTTCGGCTACACCAAACGCCTCCCACCGCCCACCTACTCGCACATCGGCGAGGTCGCCAGACGCTGCCACTACTCGTGGCGTCTTATCGAGGACGCCGCGCGCTGTGCCGTTGCCATGGAGACGACGAAGAGGCGCAGGCCGCAGATCTTGAAGTCTCGCCTGCGGTCGCAACAGTCGCTGCCACCGTCGCCGCCGTTGCCTTCTGCCATCGCGTCGGATCCAGTTTGGTCCGCGAAGTAGGTCAAGGTCATTTGCGCGTGCCGTGACCTCCAGTAGTGCGTAGCTTCCTAAATGGGCGTTGTTGTAGTTTGGAAGGCGGGTCGAAAATTCAGGCCGATTGAGCTGGATCGGTGTACGGGGGAATGCATCTCGCGCGTGATCTGTCTGCGTGGTGCTTACTGTGGGCTTCGAATATTCAAAATTGAACTACAAGTCTAACGACGATGGCAACTGATAAACCGCGCTTGCGATGGCACTGCATTTTATGCGAATTCAAGCAGGGAGAAAATGCTTCAGAAGCACGCAGGGAATCAATTTGTAGTGTTCTCGGTGCTGCCGACGTTTAGCTGCTTGAAACGTGTTACTAGAAGTGGTAATTTCGATCTTGGTGACCGGCCGCGCCCCAGACAGCAGCCTCGAGCGTTTGAAGACGTGGAATTGCAAGCTTTACTGCACGAAGACTCAACACACACGCAGCAGGAGCTTACAGCATCTCAGTAAGGAGTCACCCAAACGAAAAATGCGAAAACTTGGAGGTTGGATTCCTCCACTTGTGTTGACCTAACGCAGCCTCCTTGCCTTTCAGTGCTTGACCGCCGGCGACAAGCAGTGAATGGACTTCTTGTGATGAAAAAGTATATTTTTTGTTACCAGAATCCCAGAGGGAGCACGTCGTGGCTAGATGCCCGACAACGCAGTACATCGACGCCGAAACAGGACATCCACTTGCAGAAGAAGAAGGTTCTCCCATGCATTTAGTTGGGAAAGTCTTGAAGGGTGTACTTTACCACGAAGTCATGCAAACTGGTCGTCAGACGGTGAATGTGGAATGCCACAGCAAAGAATTTGATCAGAAAAAACCATTTACTAAGCAAGGAAGCAGACGAGTCATACTGCTGCTTGACAACGCTCGACCACCTCACTCAGAAGACCTTCTTGAACGTGGGATGGCAAGTTCTTCCACACGTGGTATATCCACCAGACTTCGCCCCACCTTCCGACTGCTAGTTGTTCCGGTCAATGCAGCAGCAGCAGCACGTCTAAGTGGATAACCAGTTCAAAACGCCAGACAGTGTGTGTAAACTCTCACGATGGTGACTTCAATGCCTCGAAGCCTGCAAGTTTCTCTCACGACGACATTTAAGCGTCAAGGTCAAAAAACAGTGGACGGTATTTTCAAGATTGCGTTCGCTGTTCTTTCATTTTTATATCAAACAACTTTGCTATAACATCTGCAAAAATTGAGTCATCTTTGACGATTCAGACTGCCGTTTGGTCTGCATTTTCCAACAGTATGAGGTGCTGCCTTCCATCACGATATTTCAAACATCTTTTGAAAGAGGACGTGTTGCTCGTGCATTTTCTGTCTCTAGGTACTCTAAACAGGCGTCCCAATTGGCGGAAAATTATGCCCAGCTGCTGGCCGCCTTGACCAGGTCGCGTAGTGCGGGGTCGTGTGCTGCCTTCAACTCCTCCTCCTCCTCCTTCACTTGCGCGAACTGGAGAGTTGACGAACAGAACACCTACGACCCGGCCCTCGCGTCAGCCGTCGACGCAGTTCTCGGTGTGGAGCCAGACTTCTGCGCCTCGTCGTCTAGACACAAGCGACGCAGGCTCGAGGGCATGCCAGGTATGGTCCTGCCTCCACAACTAAACCCTCCCCACCCTCGTCTAGAGATCTACGCCCTGCCTTCTCTTTCAGGCGATGTCACGCGTCCTCTACCCCAGATTCGATCAATCCCCGGTCCTG